TGAAGGAGTCACGGGTTGTGGCCCCCAAGAATGCGAGGAAGGAAGTGAGTGAACCGACTCCCGCGGAGACAGAAGACATGTTTTGGATGCCCATGAGAGCATTCACGGATGGCTATGTCAACGACAGGGCTGCTAAAGTGGCACTTGATCCAGACGTTGAATGGACCCTGTTAAGCTACAAAACCTACCGGTCGATTGGATCAGAGATGCCCCTGAGACAAGCCGAGGAAACTCTCGAAACAAAAACAGGAGTCAGTTTGGAAGTAGTTGACAGAGCGTCGATCGTGCTGCAGCTGGGACAGTTTAACAGAAGGACCGAAGTCTTGGTGGTCGATGGACTGGATGTTGATCTAACACTTGGACTCGTTTGGTATGAACAGAAAGAAGACTTCGTTTTCGACATGAGGAACGAAGTTCTGAAAACTGAAACGAAGTGCCGTAGTCCAACTCAGGTTAGATTCAGATGTCGTGGGAGAACGAGATTTCGGGTCCGAAATGGAATGGATTCAGGCAGAAGATGCGTCAATGCAGCTGAGACTACAGACTCCTGTGACACGGGGCTGGTTTATCACGAGGGTGCGGGATCTGGCACAGAAATGACTGAGATCAGAATTGGCGAATCGGCGATGGCTGACAACGTCAGCGAGCGAGTCGAAATCGAAGTTTCCGAAAGTAGCGATCAGGAAAACGAGCGTAAGGGAATGAGTCATGGCTCTTTGAGAGAAGGTGATCTGGAGAATTGCGAACCCGACGACAACTCAATGGAACGCGTCTGCCCGACGGAGATGTGACAAAATGAGAAGTCGGTCGATGAGCATAGTGAAGGGAATGCTGTGGTAATAGGCGATGTTACGAGTGGAAAAAAGATTGAAGTGGGGGAATCAACGCGTCGAATTGGATTATTTCCCCGTTTCTTTCAAATTTTGAGTCGCCAAATTACATCCTTGCTGTCACACAGATACGATACACAAAGCGTATTCACGATGGTTGGACGGGAGAGAAGAGATGTAACGACTGCTCCGGGCGGGAATGAGAACGACACGAAAGAATCTTTCGACGGATCTGACGATGATGAGTTGAGTTTTGACGAGGACGAGATGGCAGCTGCTTTTCTGGGTAGTGGGTACAATGCCTCTGCGGGAGGTCAGATGATGAGTGAAACCGTCCAAAGGACAGATGACATTAACATGGACGAAATAAAAATTACTTGGGCTGAACTCTGCCAAGAGATGACGGAAAAGACATGCGAACACAGACTATCTACAAAAGTATGGGACGGATGTCAAAATCTGCAAGCGAGTAGCAGATCAGAAGTTTCCCTCAAGGCTTCCAAGCGATGCCGAACAGACAAAGAACGAGATGGATTTGACGACAGAAGGGAAGTAGGGCCTAAAAAAAGAAGGCTGCCTACTTCCATAACTTAATTGATCGGTGGAAAAGTGTGGACTCATTCGGGGAAACGGAAGTTGACCGGGGCCGGGTTAATCTGAATGCGAGGTCCCCAAGCAGTGCTGGCGACCACCCGACAATCCAGTGACGGACGAAGACGGAGGAAGTGACTGGACGGTGCCGCAGCAGGACTACCGGCACCTCGTTACATATGGAAACGACAGGAGGAGCGATGAAAGAGACTTGAAACAAGAGGTCGGTGAACTAGTACGGGTTCAGTTCAGTTCAGTGAGTAAAACTGAAAACTCTTTCTCCCTCTCTCACATTCTAATCTCATTTGCGGTTTTTATAGGTGCTTTAGAAACATCTCCACCAGTAAGACAATAGAAACTCAATGAAAATTTTGGTAGTTTAATTTATTGTTTCGATAGAATGGTGGAGGTATTTCACAACGCGTTTAAAATCTTTCTTAGACTCTTAGTTGCTTCCTTCAAGGAAGCAACCCTTGGTGCTCACATAGATAAATTGATTTTGTAAGAGTCTACGGAAATTGAAGCCTGCGGTTCGCTGCGTCGCAACACGTATTAAATGGTGCATGTACCGGGTCTATACGGAGCTATATTCAGAGAGTAGTGCAAGGCGGTATATTATAGCAGAAAAACCGAAAGTCTAGTTAAGCAAAAAAGAAAAAAATGGCGTTAAAAGAGGGATTAGATATGAGACAAAGAGTCGAGGTTGAGGTGTTAGATTGGTTATTTGTCTTAATAGAAAAACGGTGACTTGATCATTGTTATTAGCAATATTCGGGTGAATAATAGACTAGAAGGGAAGACTGTAGAAATGGTGATTCTATTGTATTACATGCTATAGTGACCTGAGCTTAAGAATGCTTCGTCATCAAGTTAAGCAATACTGCAAACAGAGGGTAAAGTTCAAATTAGTTCAATCTTCGAAGATATAGTCTCTCCTATGGCAGTAAATGCGGAGGGAGTAAAAACTGCAACCCCCCCTAAATGGGAACTACAGTGGCTAGGTTTATGAAACTCATAGGACGGATACTAGAGATGATTTGACCCGGACATGAAAAAATCCATAACCCTCGGATCTCCCGGCCCCAATTGATAACAGTTCCGGAAGTGTAAATGGCCCTATCAGAACTCGGAAACTAGCGGCGGTAGTGGGCTCAAATTTTAGTAGGTTGTAGGCCTAGTTAAGGGGAGTATAAGTTTCGAAACACAGACCCCCCAGACCCCCACTTCCGTTTTATGCCCTAAGTAAACAAAACCACCCCTAAATTCCGGAAGTCGTTTCTCGGCCTCAAATGATCGCAGGGAGCTGAATCTTGGAGGGATGATAGGTAGTGGCAAGATACATCTTGTATTATATTTTGAAGCAATTCCAGCGGTTGGTCCGGAAGCTTCTAGCACTTGGAAAAAAAACCCCTTAGACCGGAAGTCGGCAATTTACGCAAAAGAATGTACGAGGGCAAATCGATTTTATGGTCGCATCAGATACTACAACTCACCTTCGGAAAAAGACCCCTTGTGATTGAAACCCCTCCGGTGACTCCTTCCGGTTTTAATAGCCTTTCCCCGGGAAAAATGATAATGGACCCTAGAAATGGGATAACTTTGGAAGTATTAACGGGATATGGATGAAACTTTGTAGGTAGGACCCCTATGGGTTTTAAACCTGAATATTGAAGTTTGACCCCAGTTGACCCCTGGGTGAACTTAAGTTGACCTTTGGGAGTTTTGACCCCAAACTTGCATGGAAAGCCCCAATATTAACACCGGAAAGTGGCGCGTTTCCCAGCCCAACCCCTGGAAATGAGAATGGGTCACCTTGCTAAAAATTGGGAGGAAAACTTATATATTGGGAACTAGAGCAGAAGCTGATAGAGATATAGTTTTTACCTTGCAACATCGGAGTAGAAGATTTAATTTAAAGTGAACTTGGCAAGCATTGCGTTCAATTTAGCTTGGCGAATGCGCTATTAATAGAATATCAATCAGGGTAAAAGAAAAGTAGTCCCAGAAGAAATTGATAGTAATGAGACCTCGGTATGAGAGTTAAGTTTCCTAAATGGTATGATTGGACGGGAAATTTACGGAGTTGATAGTTTGGTTTAATTTGACACCTAATAGACGAAATACCTTACCTTGATAGCTAGAAGGTTCGGGATTGGAATAGAGTACAGATAGAAAATGTAGATGCCTGAAATTATTTAGCTACCCATGAAAAGGGCCTCCCCCTACCCCTGGGAGGTCGAAACGTTAACGCGATAACTAAAATAAAGACCTTGGGAGGATCACTGGGTAAACATAGTATGGTTTAGAGGTTAGTTGAACTCGAGAGCTGAAGTTCACAGAGTTCAGGAATTGGTTGATTAGAATCGTATGACATTTGTTTGCTTGGTCAAATTGTGACAGCTACCGCATACTGGGTTTCTAATAAGTGTGAAAAGATTGATAAAAGAAACCGAAGTTGGCACGTGGCAGAGTTGACAGGAGGAGGGATATAGTCTTAAAACATGTGCAGACGGGTGATTTAGGCGGATGACTGATAGGGAATGGCGTGACTTAAGTAAAACTAAGTGTAAAGAAAGTTAAGGAATAGCAGGGTACCGGAGAGCCTTTAAGAGTCAGAACAGTGTTAGCTACTACTAAGGGTAGTTGGTTCTCAATCAGAGAAGAGAACAATTATTGCTAGTGAGCGAGTTGCGCTGGAACCCGAGTTTAGTACCGGGTTGAGACAGTTGTGCGAGCAAGTTGCGCTGGAACCCGAGTTTAGTACCGGGTTGAACTAGTTGTGTCGCTGCTCTGGTAGAGTAGGCGAGTTTTGAATCCAGTCAACCGAAAATTGACGAGCGATTGAAGGGAACGGGACGCGGGCTTCAATATAGAAGTTGCTAAATAGTAGTTAGCTCATTAAGGGCACTGTAAATTGTTTTATTTCCTTTGCGATTGAGTATTTACCCATTGTGCCCACGATTTGCTGAACTAACTAGAAGCGTAAAAGGAGAGCCGAAAAGAGCCTAAATTAAGGGGGAAGTTGCGTAATCCTTTGATCGACCGATTTAGTCTGACCACCAAGATAACCCTTTCGGGATTGTGGATCATATCATGTCTTAGTGTCCCCCGCTATTACACGGTATGAAGGTGAGAAACTCTGCGGCAGTTGAGTAGAGTGAAAACCTGCTTAGAGGAGACGACTCCCCGGAAAATAATCTACAAGTGGGGTAAATAGTTTTGTGCACGCACGTCAAATTAACTCCTATTCAAATTGACAAGTTTTGAATTGCCAATTTTTTCAAAATCCATACATAATCGGTTATTTAAAAAGTCGAAATTGACCAGAAGAAAAAGCTTCAGCTAAGATTTTCGTTGAATGTTTGGAAAATTGGTAGAGAAATGAAATCAAGTTACAAAACTACACAAAAAAATTAAAAGTTTAGAAAATCAGAGGACACTGTTCTGATCGATTTTAGAACCTATTGAGAGTCAACACCTACCTACACATTAAAAAAACTGATTCATAGAAAAAAACCTATTTCACATGCCATAAAAACGGATATAAATTTCCGAAAACATTAAACGCAGAAAACCTACAAAATAGCATGGCCTGCATCATGCAACAAACAGAATGGTAGCCACGAGATTGCGACAACCAGCATTTTATCTGCAGTTCTGTATGCAGCAAGATTTTGTCCCTTTTCCTTTCTGAAACAAAAAGTGAAAAAATTTGATTTCATATTCTTTTTCAACTCTTCGCTTTTTTTGTTTTTGATGGAAAAGTACTCACAATGTGTTTCGAACTGTTTCTCCGCAGACTTTCTCTGCAGTTCCATTTGTGGTGCAAAAAGAGGAAAAACCAGCTTCTATTTTGTCAAAATTGAACTCGTCAAGGCGAGTCGTGTCGAGATGCCACAAGGAAGATTTGCCCAAATGCATTGAAACCGAGAGAATTCCGATTGTGTAAATTTGAAACACGAGAGTAAGAGCGTAAAAAATCAAACGAAATTTAGTTGATTTATTGAACGACATTACTTCCAATAAAATTGAACTAGTTCAGAACGATGGTCGAAAATCAATCAGAATTTCTAAAATAAGAACGTTTTTTTTTTTGCTTAATGTTACAAATGAATATTAAATAATTGGTACAGAAAAATATTCCGTTTAACCGTCACAAAAATAAAAAACACTTCTACTGTTTTATTTTAGTGTAACGAACAAGCCAACAAATTTTTCATTAGATATAAACTAACACAGTCTTTTTTTCACAAATGTACAATAACGATAATTTGTTCAGAAGATTTAAGAAATACAATACGCTCAGAAAAGTAATTCTACTTGATCATTATAAAAAACTGAAGTATACAGTATTTATGAAAAATAAAGCTTTACTTAGCATTCATTTATTCAACATGAATTATTTACCATCAAACTGCAAACACTCTTGCTACAATCTCGCAAAATTTTTCTTTCTTTAAACATTGATACTGGTCTTAAACAAAATTTCTCAACCGAAACGTCTTTCTGACGTATTTTTGACCACTTTGGGAATTTTTTAACTCTTTGTATTCAGAAGTTTATACTTTATATTTAACCCTTTTACTCGCTCACGACCTCAAAACTCTTTGAAACTTTTGAGGTCGTGGAGGTTTCTTTACTATGAACAAAGTTTGCATATTCTCAACCGCGTTGAATTGTTTCATCATAGGGGTGATGATTTGTTACCAGGTACCAAAAGGGAGATTATGTTAAAAAGATCCAAAACTGATTAGAAAATTAGATTACGAGGCCAAAATGTGCGCTGGTTAGGGTCAAATTTTAGTGTCTGTTCATTACTGGATTCCAGAGACAAGTTACTAAACATTTTTCGAAAGTAAAAGAGTGATGAAAACATCGTTTTTCCGGCTATTTTCAAGTCTCTCTTACACTTTAATTTTGAAAAGATTTAACTTTGTCATAATGCAAGGAAATTTGGCCTTGTGAACATACTGACAATTTTAATCAGATTTATTCCAAACTTCACCTCGTAACTTCACGCATTTAGCAGTAATAACACGTAAAACAAACATGAAATCGATATTTTGAAAGGTTGGTAAAAAATCCAATGTTTCCATATCTGTGCAATAGAGTACACAAGTGTTTGAGTATTTTAATAACTTGGCTGACTGTAGAAATGCTGATCAACGTTCGACTCAAAAGGCTGATCATTTTTCGAAAAAAAAACAATTGCTGTCTTGCAAAAATTCTGAGAGTTTTTTTCGGAATTTCTAATTACCTTTTTCGAAATCAACTGTTTGAGTATATGTATTTGTATTTTCTTAACAATTTTTTGTTGAGAAGAATAAGCAAGAAAATGTCTTAACAGTTTTTTGGCTTACACAGAGTCTGATTTCAAATTTGTTTATTATTAAGACACTTTGTTTATGAATATGAATCGATGAAGTTAACAACTATACTGTAGGCAGGCTTTCTAAATTTTCATCTTGAGTAGGTTAACGATATAATTCTGAGAGTTAATAACTGCTCAATTAAAAATTTAGGCTATACAAGTTAGGCTGGCTCTCTTAACTTTCGGGTTGAAAGACCGTTAATAGTATTGCTTTCGAATCGAGAAAAGCTTAAATTTGGTCCTCTTTTTGTAAAAAAAACTGAGACTAGAGCTGTAGTTGGGTTTTCCCTTTGCTTTGGTACGAACGACGGTTCATGTTGATTGATGCTTCTTCGCTGTTGATACTGCTCCTAGTCCTTTGAAATGTGGGTTTAAATATAGTGTGTCATGACACTGACAAGTCATTCCGTCGACCTGCTTGCAACCAAAATCGCTAAACTTAAATTTCTCTTGAAAAAAAACAAAGGAGGCTGTCAAGTCTTAGCTGTGTCTAGCATTTGGCATTTCTCTTCTTCTACAAAACGTGTTGTTTTGACAGCGTCTAAACAACCGTATTTGATGAGTGAAATGACCGTTTCAAAGAGAATTTTTTTTTGCTGAACAGTTTCGACAAAAGTAAAGAAGGTTCCGTAACAGTTAAGTTCTCACAACAGTCCAGTTTTGTCTTGCCGAGTGTGAAAAGTTTTTTTTTTCTTCTGCGCGCTGAAACTTCGCATTTAAGATTGCAGAAATATGGTTTTCTGTCGGTTACACGACTTTTGTTTTTCGCGCCACGTGTTGCTTTATAGGGCATATACCCGCACCGAGCGTCCATGGATTCTAGTCGGTTATAATGGATTTCCGAGACAAAAGTAACCTTTATTATAGTTCATTAAATTATTTCATTTGTGTAATTTTTTTTACCTCTGTTGGTGTTGCCCTGACAGGTTTCTAAAACAGGTCAAGATTGTTCATTGATTCTATCGGTTAGTTTACAAGCTTTTCATCAGCAGCATTATTAAATTCTGCTGATACAACTTGAGATAATCCAAGCTTTTTGCTTTTGGTTTATCAGTTTTTCCTTTGAGCAAAAAAGGGTTTTCTGTAAGAAGAAAGCATAGTCAAGTCCAGTTAAAACAAATATATTGGCATTTCTTCAAATAGAGTAGTCAGGACATGTTTCTAATAACTCGCTACCGGCAGATTTATTTGAAAACTAAAAACTATTCGGATTTTATGCATTCAGATGTTTTTGTTGTGGTAATGTATGCTAAACTTTCCAGTGGCAAGGATTGATATTTCATATTTCATCAGTCGTTCTAGTTATTGTCCAAATCTGTTTTTTTTTGCATTGAAAGTGTGGTAAAAAGCCAAAGGTTATAAACAATGATCACAAATATTTTACCATCATTTCTAGTAGTGCTACAAGTGCATCATTTGAGTCTTTTTTCATATAACACATGAGACTTATTTTATTACCCTGTTGAACAAGAGATCCATCGCATTTTGTTTCTCGGTTTTTGGTTGAAGCTGTGGGAGTTTTTCAGTTCACACGATCTTTGTCATATTTTTTTTCAAAAACGTTTCAGTGAAAAGTAAAACACCAAAAGATCAAAACATCAAAACATCGCGACTGCTGTGAAGCGTATTTGATCCTTCTTAAACTTTACTACTCATTGATTTGAATTCCTTTACCAGCTGCATTTTAAAATTATGTAATTTAAAAAAAGCCTGGAGGGGTCACTGTAGAGTATTTAAATTCAACGAGCAATGACCCTTGGTCTTGCTGAGAGAGCAATTATGAGGGACATGATTTTACTAACTGTTTGAAAAAACCTTGAAAAGCGTTTGAAAACATTCTAACTTTTCTAACAAATTTTTAGAACATATACTATTTTTGATCAGCCAATTATAAGCTAAAAGCAGCTGATGTTCGTCTGATTTCCGTATTTGAAAAGTACTACAGTTTTCCAAAGGTAATATGTATTTTGTAGTATTTCTTGTTTGTCGTCAACTGTGAAGTTGTTCTCGATGAAGAAACTTATGTTGAGAGCGGCCACGAAGCTCGTGAGAAAGCATTTTGAATAATTCACACAGAAAAAAATCGAAAACAGTGAAAAACTCATGGTTCTCCATAATGTCGATGAGTGACTCAGAACGCTGTTTAAAAAAATGCTCTAATGATTCGTTTTTGAACATTTATTTAAATACGTTTTATACATATGCGTAGTTAATTTCATAACTCAATATGACTGGCAAAATGCATTTTAATAAATCAGTAGATGCTTTTTTGAGAATTACCTTTTATTTTTATAAACCACCACACAGAAGTGCTAAAGTTTTTTGTTCATTTTTTCAATGTGACATCTGTAGCATAATTTTTTGTCTATTTCAGTTTTTAAATTTTTTGAGCGATCAACAGTTTTTAGCACTTGCCGTGAAAGATGCAACCTTGATGTTGAGGCCTTCCCCAAACTCATAAAATAACAATTATCGGAATTTACTGCCAGACTGTTTTGCCTAATCCGATTAGTTGTTTTACTAATTTCACCGGCAAAACCCTTATTTTCACTTTTTTTTCAGAATGAAAAATCGAAGTGCCATCAGCAAATAATACTACATATTGCTTTTCTTAAAATTTTGTGGTATTGTGGTAAGTCATTAATAAATAAGAGAAAAAGTAGAAGGCTGAGCACTGAGCTTTGGGAAAAACCATGCTCAATTTTCAGTGGTTGTGATGATGTTTCAATCATTTGGACAAACGGTTCCCGACTCGCAGAATTGACTTGAGAATGTAGAAAAACACGCCTCTGAAACCAAAACGTTTTAGTTTTCCAGGCAGACAACGGTTAATAAAAGTGAAAAAACTTTAGAATCAAAAGTGTTGGCAGTGATTGAAATTTTTCAGCTTGATCAAGGTCCTTTGTGAATGGCGGATTGCGAGAAACGCATGACCACTAACGCAAGACTTAACATCTTGAAGTGTATACTACAAGCAAAAAATTTATATTGACGAATTTTTCGTCCGGTGTTCGACATGTAAACTCTTGTGCCGACGCAAGTCCAGAAGAACAACATCATGCTGTTTTTCAACATTAACCGAGTGAAATTAGCTCTGTCCTTCCTAATATCTGCAATAGTTTTTAAGTTTCGGTAATTACTGGTTTGTAACAAACAAACCAAAAATGAGCGGTGGTTTGCGCATAGTGTTTGTTCAGCACCAGCGAAGCTAGACATGGCTTTTGTGAATTCTTCTGTAAACCATGGCAGTGGCGAATCTAGGATTTTCCTGAAAGGGGGGGAATTTTAAAAAAAAATTGTAAAACCTTTTTTAGATTTGATCAAATTTGATTTTCTGAGCTCTCCCAAATCATCAAAAAGACCCTTTTTTGACCAAATCTATTCCGCTGCAGGCAAGATTTTGAAAAAAAGGCCAAAAAAGGCGTTTTTTTTCTGCAATTTTTTTGAAAATTTCGACCAAAAAATCACTCTCCCCCCTCAAAATTAGAATAGATTGACACCAAAGGTGCATTTTGACAATTTTTATGGTGTATCATCAAAAATAGATATCTCAAAATAGTACAAATGGGGGACCCTTCGGGTCTTCAGGGGGTCGACCTCCTGAGCGGATAGCAAACGTCAAACCCCCCCAAAGCCGCCCCTGATTCATAATCAGCTGAAGTCAGAAGCAACACATGTACGTCTACCAGTCAACAAATTTATTATACGCAAGCTTAGGTTTCATTGTAATTAACGACTTAAATTACAAGAAATCACTCAAGGAAGACATGTTTTATTTTTTGTAACTGTTTGGGGGAGGCCAAAATATTTGAGTGTCAGCAGTTTAAACCGGCTAAACTTTGAAATACTATCAGTGAGGCTATATTCCACCCAAAACTGCGAAAGACCGAACAAAAAGTG